AATGTGCATTTAATCACCAAAGGACTGAAGATGTCTGGGCTTTTTATTCTGTAATGTTTCTAAGACTGTGTCCATTAAATGCAAACAAAAAAGGAAGAAGTCTTGGCAGAACAGGAGAAGTGATGCACACTTGAGGATCAGACCGACTTAAATATTATTCATGGCATATAGCCTAGTCCATGCTCTAGCTGTAGAAAAAAACAAACATGCAATTATTCTTTTACTCAGTTAAACGTTACTTCCCAAACTATGAACCACAAATAAACATTATAATTAAATTATGAAACTGTCATGCTATACTTTCTTAAATTCATGCTATTTTCTCCAAACTTAATCAGGCCGTATGACTTGTTTTCAGCAAAAAAAATAACAAAACTCTTATACTCTACAAATTCATAAGGATAAAAAGTGTTCCCTTCACCTCAGCATAGAAACTCTCTAAAGACTGACTCAAAAAACTTAAGTTATATGCTAATGCAAATGGATCTTAAAGAATTATAAACAGCACAAAAGTTCAAAATTTTCAAGTACTTTTATCTACTGCTAGGCAAATAGTAGCTACTGACTTACATGCTTGTTAAATGAGATGTAAAGTTGAAGATTTAACCAGAGCTAGTCTAAATTTTTAAAAAGAGAGCCTTGGTGGTATAGCCTGTTGGAAGTTGTTGTGCTGCTAGCCGAAAGACCACACTCTTCTCTGATGGTTTGAATCTACCAGCAGCTCCATGGGATAAAGATGGGCAATTTCCTCCCATGTGATTTATAATGCTGGAAACCCAATAGAGGATCAACAATGAGTGAGTCTAAATTCTGGGGCACAGAAGGAGGAGTCTGAATATCTCTTAATAAATATTTTTAAATTACAAACAGCATCTAATTTTATGAAAAGTATTTTTTATTTCTTATGACATTAAAAGATTTTTATCTAAAAAGAGTTGCTGTGAAGAAGAATGAATGTTAAATACCTGTTTCTATGGCTTGGGCTTCGTTGGTCTTCCACTGCTCCGCTACATCGTTTGCTAGTGGATCATCTGGATTGGGAGCACTTAACAAAGCCTGGATCGAAAGCAGAACTGTGCGGATCTGCAGTGCTGGGGACCACTTATCTATGAAGGTAACAGGCCCGGTATGATAAAGCATGAAAATTCTGCCCCTGAACTGCTGTACAGCCCTCCCACAGACCTTTATGGCCTTTATATAAAGTAAGATTATAATGTTTACATGCTAAATATGGAGCACTTAAAAGAAATCTTAGTAGCATAATGACAAAGACAGCACTTACCTTTCAAAATATCTAAACATATTCTTCCCAACTTGTCTACATTAGGGTGATAAATTTTGGTCATGAAACGTACTTTAGGAGCTGCCATTGGGTATTCTTCTGGAAGGAATAGTTCAAGTTTAAAAGTCCCTCCCTCAAAGGGGGAATCCTGGGGGCCAGCAATGACCACATGAAAATAACGAGCGTTGCTCTCATCTGGTTCTGCTTTAATCCCGGGAACAGGTTCTGCCAGCAAACGCTGGGTTTCCTACAACAGAAAAATTAAAATATCAATGAAACAAATGTAATTTCATCAAACATCCAATTAAAATTAAAAAGCTCATCTCCTGAAATTTTATAAAACAAAAATTCTCCAGTCATGACCTGATGTATTTGTACATAAGCTATAAAATATAAAGTTCAGAGAAAAGATTATTTAAATACTCATACAACTGCAAGAGAAAATATAGATGCGCTAGCCAATACATCTAGATATAACGTCTACATGCTAACAAAATGTGATTTATAACTGAGAGCTGGGAGGTGAAAAAAAAAACAAACCACAACCAAAAATCCCTACCATCAAATCACAAACAACTTATTACCATATAATTACCATCCTTGCTTTTTAAACAATTCTACAAAACCCAAGTTGAAAAAATACATCTGAACAGGGCCAAAGAAATCTATAGAACAATGCTGATTACATCTCCAAAACTGGGAACTTCAAATAATCACACCATTATTTCTTTTTTTCCCCCAGTTTCTCTCTTTCTTAACTATTATTCCTTCTCCTCTCTTCAAAAAGCCAGTTATCTCCATTTCCATCCTCATTTTTAGGTAATGACTCTAATTCCCATTTTATGAGAAAATTAAAAGACTCTTCTGTAAGTTCCTATGGAGGATGTGTACATCTATCTCCATCTGTGTCCACATACTCATCTTTCCCTGCTTTTACATAGTTGACATTGACTCAAAGTAAGATGAAAAACAACACCTGATGTCCCAGAGATGAGGGTGTCAAGGTCCTAGGGCCAATAACTTACTTGATCAGGATGTTTGATTATGATTAAGACGCGAGTCTGTTATTGGCTGTACAATATTCTAAAAAAACAAAAACAAACAAAACAAAACACCAACACCCCATAACAATAAACAAAACACATTGCCATCAAGTCAGAACTGATTCATAGCTAATCCTCTCTTCAATGGGAAGAGACTGATGCATTTTTCTTCCACAGAGCCAGCGCCTCTTTGTCTTTGTGTTAGTAGCACAACTCCCTACAGACCAGGCCACCAGAACTCCCTCTACTAAATATACACGTATAGTCACAGTATATACAAATATAAATGTAGAAATAATCTGTCAAACTTATTTATGATCCTAGATATTGTTGACTTGGAAAGTAGCTACCTACAACCGGGACTTCTGTTCACTGCAGAGTCAAGTCACCAAAAACTCTCGCAAGTACACAGCCTCCTAAATCATTCTCCCTGCCTCTGGCTTTGCTACCCAGTCCCTCACGGGCCTGTTTTCCATAGAACTTTTAAGTCAAAGTCTTTATAATGGTCAAAAAAGGGGACTATTTGGTTAGGCTGCTAACTGAAGAGCCAGCAACATGACCCCACCAGGGTTTTTGCTCCCCAGGGCAGAAAAGAGGCAACTTCCTTTAAGATTTACAGTGTTAGAAACCTGATTAGAGGGTCACCATGATGAGTGAGCATGGTCTCAACAGAAGTGAGCATCATTTTGGTTTGATTCTGCTTACACCAGACTCATCTTCAGGTTTGCTTTCCTCATTTGCTTTGTTAGACCTCGATCACTTCCTTGGAGTTCAACTTGGCAAGCACACTTCTACCTCAGGGCATTTACATTCCCTCTCCTCCTTCATTTCTTATTCTGTGAAGCCTCCAGAACTGAAATGCAAATGTCATTTCACCATATTCTAGACTCTCAATCACTGCTTTCATATCTTATCTCCACAGAACTCATACACAACTCACTCAAAATGTCCAGAACAGGTAACTCCTCTGTAAGAGGAGGAATTCTAATTCTACTATCTAAGGCCACTTTTTGGCCAATGAAACCCCAGGATGCAAGCCTAGTTTCTCTGAAAATTCATTTAGGATCTCTGCAAACTCATGTGGCCTCAAAGGGGTGAGTCGCTGGCTTGGTCCCTCTGTGCTGACTGGGGGTTGGCTCTAGAGCGACTGGTTGGCTGGAAGACACGTTCTTTGGCCAATGAGAGCCCAGGATGCAAGCCTGGTTTCTTTGAAAATTCATTTGGGTCGGAGGGCCACAGGCTTTTTAATTGTTCTTGGTCAAACAGTCTTCTTTTTTTTTTTTTAATTTAGGTTGTTTATTTTTCATTTCAATGAACATCTACAGAGATTTTGGGATTCCATTAATTCATTGTTGCACCCTTCTCCCCGCAC